ACACACAGGAGCACAGCAAAACACACCCCGCACGCACGCCGACACGCGCGCCACGGCATACCTGCGCGGCGTAACAACAACAGAGCATTTTCCACATGCTTGGTGGACTAAAGCGACGCTTCCCGTTCTTGTCCGGTCAGGTTTTCTAAGAGGGCTCCAGGAAGACCCCCAGGACGGCCTCAAGAGGCCCAAACAAAAGGTGTTCGATTGGTTTTCGCGTGATCGTTTCTTCGGGCTTCTCCTTTCAGATATCCCAAGACGACCCAAGACACCCGTCAAAGAGTCCATGGGCAGCCCAAGAGGGCCCCAAGAGGGCAAAGAAGTCCGAAAGCTGGCCCGGAGACGGTCGACGAGACCCCCAAGACGGCCGTAGAGGACCATCAGAGGGCCCAGAGGCGCCCCGAACACGGTGTCCGAAGGTGAGGTCCCTGCAGAGGCCTCGAGGACGCCCGAGACGCCCCCAGGAGGCTCCTGGGAGACCCAAACAAAGTTCATCCAGAGGCCCCCCAGGAGCGACACAACGCCATATTCTGCACTTTCTGGACGCGCACCCTGCGAAACGAGAGCAATCCACAACAGGCCCCCGGGAGAGCACACGAGCTTCCGAGAGGCTCCAAGAGGCACCCAGTTTGAATGTATCTAATTGTGGTTGATGTTCTTCGTCCGGTGCCATTCCTTTCGTCACGTCTGCGGTGACGTTCGTCAGAGTCTCGCAGACCAAGACGGCCCACAAGCCTACAAGACTCAAGACGGCATCCGAAGGCCACGCGGCCTGAAATCTTGCTACGAAGGTCCAAGAGGATCCCTAAGCGACCCCGAGGAGTCCCTTATCGCCTCCAAGACGCTCCAGCAGGACAGCCCCCTGGAAGAGTCCAAGACGCCCCTGGAGACTCCCAAAAGGTCCTCCAAAACTCCAAGTCTCGTTCTCCATCAAGTGCAGTATGGAAAATATGGGAATTTGCATGGTACCTCCTTCTTCTCCCTTCGTGTGTTCCTCCTTCCTCTTCCCCTCGTGCTGCCTGATTATCCGTAAGGGCTTCGCCCCCTGCCGCCGGCCCCCTCTCTCGGAGAATGGGCCATGGAAGAGCTAAGTCATGAGGCCTTGGCGGTGTCGTGAAGCAGTATCGAAACTTCACGCGAAGCCGATTCGCAATCAGCAAAACCAACTGATCACAAGAGGGGTTACCACACCTGGCGATTGGTAAGACGTGTATGGCTTACGGGCTTGGTTACCACACCTTGCGATTAAAGGGCCGAGAGAGTTCTCGCAGTTTGGGTTACCACGCCTTGCGATGGATGTGCGTGAAGGGTGGCACCGAATTTCAGAAATGTGGCAAATCCCCTGTGTTTTTGGACCCTGACCCCGCGGATCTGCGTGAGGGGTGGCACCGAATTTCAGAAATGTGGCAAATCCCATGTGTTTTTGGACCCTGACCCCGCGGATCTGCGTGAGGGGTGGCACCGAATTTCAGAAATGTGGCAAATCCCTTGTGTTTTTGGACCCTGATCCCGCGGATCTGCGTGAGGGGTGGCACCGAATTTCAGAAATGTGGCAAATCCCATGTGTTTTTGGACCCTGACCCCGCGGATCTGCGTGAGGGGTGGCACCGAATTTCAGAAATGTGGCAAATCCTGTGTGTTTTTGGACCCTGACCCCGCGGATCTGCGTGAGGGGTGGCACCGAATTTCAGAAATGTGGCAAATCCCATGTGTTTTTGGACCCTGACCCCGCGGATCTGCGTGAGGGGTGGCACCGAATTTCAGAAATGTGGCAAATCCCATGTGTTTTTGGACCCTGACCCCGCGGATCTGCGTGAGGGGTGGCACCGAATTTCAGAAATGTGGCAAATCCCATGTGTTTTTGGACCCTGACCCCGCGGATCTGCGTGAGGGGTGGCACCGAATTTCAGAAATGTGGCAAATCCCGTGTGTTTTTGGACCCTGACCCCGCGGATCTGCGTGAGGGGTGGCACCGAATTTCAGAAATGTGGCAAATCCCCTGTGTTTTTGGACCCTGACCCCGCGGATCTGCGTGAGGGGTGGCACCGAATTTCAGAAATGTGGCAAATCCCGTGTGTTTTTGGACCCTGACCCCGCCGATCTGTGTGAGGGGTGTCGATTTCGAGCCCCCCCAGCAATTCAGACAACGCGCCCAGGAGGTGCTAAATATCTGGTTTGGGCCTCCCCCCCCTCGCGCGGTCAATCAACTAGTTACAGTAACCAGCAAGAAGCAGAACTATAACACTGGAAACTACAAGCTACAACTGGTACAGGAAACTGCGAACCCGCGCCTACAGCCTGGTGGCCCCAAAAGGGGGCCGGCGGATTCTCGTTCTTCCCATCTGCACAAACTTTCCCCGTGTCTTGCATGTCGGGGTTCGTGGCTATATCGGGCTCTTGTGCAGGTCGGATGGACCCCGCAGACTGAGTAGTTATCGGCCGTCTAGGTGGCAGAATTGGAGCATATAGCAGTAAGGATAAGTAATCAGGACAGGAAGGTGAGGCCCAAGGAGGAGGAGGAGGAGAAGGGAGAAAGAGAAGGAGGAGAAGGAGGAGGAGGAAGAGGAGGAAGAGGAGGAGGAAGAGCGCGCAGGAGGAGGAGGAGGAGGAGGAGGAGGAGGAGTGGAGGAGGAGGAGGAGACGGAGGAGGAGGAGGAGAAGGAGGAGCGCGATGAGCGAGGAGGCGCGGGGAAGAGGAGAAGGAGGAGGAGGAGGAGGAGGAGGAGGAAGAGAGCGCAGGAGGAGGGAGGAGGTGGAGGAGGAAGAGAGCGCAGGAGAGAGAGCGCAGGAGTAGGAGGAGGAGGAGGAGGAGGAGGAGGAGAGCGCAGGAGGAGGAAGGAGGAGGAGGAGGCGGAGGAGGAGGAAGAGGAGGAGCGAGGAGGAGAAGCGAGAAGGAGCAGGAGAAGGAGGAGGGAGGAGGAGGAGGAGGGAGGGAGGGGGTGAGGGAACGAGCAGAAGCCGCGGCCGCATCGGCGGCAGGGCAACCGCGGCGACAGGGGGACGGGGTGGGGCCGCGGGAGCAGCGACGGGCCGCTCCCTCACAAGACTCGGAAGTCCCCCGGCCTTCTGAGACACTGCTTAAGCTTCCCCCGAAGGCACCAACAACTTTTCGGAAGGCGCGCGGGCTTCTGCGAAGTCCCGCCGCCTTCCGAGAAGGCCTTCTTCTTCTTCTTCTCACTTCCCCCCCTTCGCTCGCCGCCGACTCCCAGCGCGCCGCGCACTCCCCGTGGGCCAGGATGTGCGGGGAGCAGGCGGGAGCAGCAGGCGGGGGCAGCAGGGTCCGTTTCGTTGCGCTCCGACCGATCCGCTTCGATCCGACCGATCTGAAATCCCCTGCTGGCCAGAAGCCTTCCCGTGCGTGGGCCGGCGTCGGGCCTCGGCGCTCCCGAATGCTCAAAGGGCGTCGACGAGCGGCGACAGGGTGGCCCGTCAAGGGCCGGGAGCACGGGACAAGGGGGAAAGACTGGTCTACTCTGTAAGAACGGTTTTTTGAAGGCAGATCTGCCTTCAAAAAACCGTTCTTTTTTGAAGGCAGATCTGCCTTCAAAAAACCGTTCTTACAGAGTGGACAAGGGACGGGGGCCCAGGACCCCAAGGCTGGACATAGAGGCCGTGTTGCTGGACTCCGGCTGTGTTTTGTTTTCCGCTTCGGCAGGGAGGGACAGGAAAACAGGCAATTAGAGCAAAACGAATAACAAGACGAAAGCAAAACGAACGACAACGTTTAGGTCCAGCCCTGCCAGGACCCAAGGACGAAGCCGACCAAAAGGGGCCGACCGCAGGAACAGACCGCAGGAACAGGACCGAAGACCTCGAGCGTTGCAGCGGGCTCGGGGTGGCCGGGAGCAGGCGGGGGCATTCAGCGGGGCAGCAGGATCAGTTTCGATCTGGTCCGATGGCGATTTCGGCCTACGATTCCGATCCTGCACGGATCCGATGCTGTCCGACGCTTGCATGGCGCTGTTGTGTATCCTGATGCGGCCGATCCGATTCGATTTCGATTCCGTGCGGATGAAGCCTGACGCGACGCTCATGTCCGTTCGATCCGTTTTCCCGATACGATGTTGATTCATTGGCTGACGCCGCACCGCCGACCTCTTTGGGGCGGCAGTAAGAATGAAAAACGGAGTTTGCGGAACGCCCGCGATTTCTGCGGAATGTTGGGGTTTCAGCTTCTTGGGATTTCGTCAGGGGCGGTTGGCGGATCGCGGCTCTGCTCTTGGGCTTCTCTGGGCTCTCCTGGCAGCATTTTTGAGGCCTCTTGGGAGCCGTGTTGAGGCCTCTAGGGGCCTCTTTTGTCTTTTGGGCCTCTCGGGGGCCTCTAGGAGCCTCTTGGGGGCTTCTTGGCGCCTTCTCAGATTTTTTGGGGCCGAGTGTTCGAAATGTTCATTCGGGTTCCCCCTCTGGGCCTCCACTTGGGGCCGGCCCTCCTGGGCCGTTTTGGAGGCTTCTGGGACCGTCTTGGGGCCCTCTTGGGCTGTTTTGGAGCCCTCTTGGGGGCCGCTTGGGCTATCTTGGGTCGATCTTGAAGGCTTCTTGGGCCGCTGTGGGCCTCGTGAAAGCCCAAGAGGCGAATGCGCTGAAAATATGCGTTTACCCTAAGGAATGTTTTGCTTCCGGAGGGCCTCTTGGGACGCCTCTTAGTGGCTTCTTGGGGCATCTTGGTGGCCCCTGGGACCGTCTGGAGGCAATCTTGGGCGTCGAGCGATCTTTCGGCGACTCGTAGCCCTCTTGGACCGTCCGGGGGGCCTTTCGGGGCCATCTTAGCCCGTTTTGGGGCCCCCTGAGGCTTCAATGGTGCGGCCGGCACTTTTGCCCCCCACCCCCACCCCCCCTCCAAACCAGCAGGACCGGGCTCCCGGGGGAGGGGTTTGGGGAGGGGGACGCATCTCACACGCCGTGACCCCAAGGGGTCGGCGGATCAATCTTGTTTGATGCAGGGTGAAGGTTTGGGTAGCAACGTGGGCCTGGAATCCTAACCGCCTCGGGCTGCCACAGAGGACCGTGCTGTCTGCACGGGCGGCAAGAAGGACTACGCGAGACGACCGGTGAGCTTCCAGGCGCCGGGTGTGCCTCCCGATAATGTTTCGCGCTGTTCCGCTCAAGATGTTCGACACCTCCTCATCGCTGAATGTTTCCCCCTTCTGCTCAAGATGTTCGACATTTTTCCGCCTCAAGATGTTCTGCACGCGGTTTGCTGGACAGGAGAAGAGCACCGCCCTCGCGGGGCTCGTTCCAGCAAGGGCCTCGCCTTCGGCGCGCCCTCCCCGTCGGCGGACGTACGACGGCGGCGAGCCCGGCGGCGGAGGGTCGGCGGAACGCGGCGGAAGTAAACGTGAGATGCCGAAGGCATCGTTCGGGCCGAACGAAAGGGGGGGATTGGGAAAGGGGGGGGGGTACGAAATATGCTGCATGCAGCTGGTTTCGGCCTCGCCGAGGGGCCCATTCCTCGATACATAGCCGCCTCTGGCGCCGGGAGGCGCCGGGAAAATCAGCTACGTGAGCTGATTCTCACCCCCCCCCCCTTTGCTATCCCCCCCTTTCGCCCGACCCGAATCGTGAGTATTCTCTTCTAAGTCCATTGTCCTTGGCTTTCGAATGTAGCTTGAAGAGTATACGTTCTGACTTCCGCATGCGTAGATGGTTTATTGAGCTGGAGTACAAGGCATTGCGTGCAGCTCGCAGGCACGAGTCTGTTTCCAGCTGCCCGAGGTAAATTTCGACTCCGAACCAGCGCAGCACTCTTTGTGTGGCGACGCTTCGGGCACCGCTCAGAAGGCCGTAACATGTGGCGCTTATCGTCTCATTCTTTGAGGGGCTCTCATGAGCCATACCAGGGTCGTCCTGCGGCTGTCTTGGGCTTGTGTGGGGCCATCCTGGATCACTCTTGGGCCATCTTTGGACGTAGTGGTACCATATTGGACCGGCTGGGGCCCCTCGCGGCGGTCTGGGGAGTTCCTCGGGTCCTTCTTTGGCCACCTCCGGGCTCTCTTGGGGCTGCCTCAGGGGCTGTTTGGGACGCCCTCATTGGGCTCTTGTGCCATATCTTTGACTCCGCCAGTATGAGGCGAGAGATCCAGAACATTTATGATATTTGAAATTTGAAAAGCATTTTGAGATCCTGGTGTCCTGGTGTCCTGGAAGCCTCTGGGGTCATCTTCTTCGCGTTTTGGGGTCTTCTTCGGAGCCGCCGGGTGCCTCCTGAAAAAATGGTGGGCCATCGTAAACGTTAGGAAGGCTTGGAGGCCCCAGGGAAGCGCAGGGGCGCCCACGGACTCTCGGGAGGGGTGGTGGTGCATTCCCCTGGGCGTGAGAAGACCGACCGAGTGGGCAAGGAACGTCAACGGCCAGCGCGTACCTTTGCACCATCGCTGGGAAACAAAAACCTAAACGCCAGTTTCACAGACACAGAACGCCGACGCCGTCATTTTTCCGCAGCGCGGGCCCGCAGAGATGTTGACCCCCTCCCCAGGACGAGCTGTTCATCTTGAGTGGCTTTTTGGCGGTCCCATGGCCCGGTGAGGACTCTTGGAGGCAGAAAGTATCAAGAAATAGCCCGTCGTGATGCTGCCCATAGCCTAAGATGGAGTTCTTGTTCCCTATATCCAATGGATGGGGTTCTTGTATTTGCCGACCGCGCCGACTCCTCACCTCCACCTCCCTCCTCATACTAAGTTATGTTATGTCAGGGTATGATATGGCATGTTATGGCATGGTATGGCTTATGGTATGTTGTGGTATAGTCTGGTACGTCATGCTTTGGTATGGTACGGTATGTGCTGGTATGTTATGGCATGGTATGTTATGTGATGATATGTTGTGTTATGGCATGATGCGTTATGAGGTATCACGTTATGCTATGCCATGTTATGTTATGTTATGATGATGATGTTGTTGATACTGCTGATGATGATGATGGTGCTGATGATGATGATGATGATGATGATAGTGATGATGATGATGATGATGATGATGATGATGATGATGATGATAATGATAATGATGATGATGATGATGATGATGATGATGATGATGATGATGATGATGATGATGATGATGATGATGATGATGATGATGATGATGATGGCGGGGCAAATTCGACAGATGTCTCGAGCGAGGCGCGGCTTTCAGCACCCCCAAGGGGGAGCCGCCCGCCAGGGGGTGTTGCACTCCTCCGGTCGCGCCAAAATGGTGGGAAGGTCTCGAGCGGCTTGCTTGCTTCAAGACACAACATCCTCCGCTTTCGGAGCAGATTTGGAGGATGTCTCGAGCGAGGCGCTCATGTTCGCCCCCCAGGGAGGCCATATTTTGAGGATGTCTCGAGCGGTTTGCCTGTGTTGCTGGCCAGACTCGTGGGCACGGATCCTCTTCAGGATGCCACAGGAGGCTCCAGCAGGCTCCAGGAGGCTCCAGGCCACAGGATTTTTCAGGATGCCACAGGAGGCTCCATGAGGCCCCAGGAGGCCCCAGGAGGCCCCAAGAGGGTCCAGGAGGCCCCACGAGGCCCCAGGAGCAGGAGTCGTCATAAGGTCACAGGAGTGGCTCCAATCCCATGTGTTTGCGTGTGCTCCTATAGATTGGGCCTCACTTGGAGCACGAATGTGTGGTGTGTTACGCATGTTTCTAAAGACTGTCCTCCTCATGTGCATCCAATCCTAAGTGTTTTACGTATGTTCCTATATAGTGGGCCTACCGTATGTGCACGAGTCCGTGGTGTCTTATGTGTGTTCGTATCGATTGCCCTTCTCCTGCGGCTCCACTCCGCAGTGTTTTATGCACGTCTGTTCCTATAAGTTGGGCTTCCCATGGGGCATGATTCGACCCCAGGAGGCCACACGAGGCCCCAGGAGGCCTCAGGAGGCCACAGGAAGCCACAAAAGGCCCCAGGAGGCCCCAAGGGGCTCCAGGAGGCCCCAGGAAGCCCCAGGAGGTTTCAGAAGGCCCCAGGAGACCCCAGGCTCATGCGCAGAGACGCGCTCGTACTAACGAGACTCATTCACACCCCAACCCATCCACAGTTAGATTCACTCCCAGACCGTCACTACTCAAGCCCGATTATAATCGAAAATTCTTGCGCCTAGTCAATCACGGCGGACAGGCCCATGCTAATAGATGCACACATGGGGAGCCCCACGCGTTGAATATTCGAGGTCATTCAGACCGCGTCGACTCCGCCTTCCTCCTCGACCTCCTCAGCCTCACTCATGACATTCAGACTCACTCACACACTGACTCACTCCGACTCATACTCACTCACACTCAGACTCATTGTCAGGCTCATCCATACCCAGACACACAGGCACACATTCAGACACATTGGCTCAATCACACGATTCACACTCCGACTCGCGCACTCGCAAACGGCGCTGGCTTCAGCACCCCAAAGGGGAGCCGCCAGGGGGCACTGCACGGGTCCGTTCGCGCACAGATTGCGGGGATGCTTGCAGGTTCGCTTGCTTGCATGCTCAACGTCATTTGCTTTCGGAGCAGTTTGTGAGAACGTCTCATGCGAGGCGCTGGGTTCAGCATCCCAAGAGGGAGCCGCCAGGGGATATTGCACGGGCTTGTTCGCGTCCAGTGTTTGGGGATCGCTGGTGGTTTTCCTGTTTGCATGTCCATCATCCTCTGTTGCCGGAGCAGTTTGCGAGGATGTCTCAGGCGAAGCGCTGGCTTCAGCACCCCATTTGGGAGCCGCCAGGGGGTATTGCACGGGCCCATTCGCGCCCAACTTGCGAGGATGTCTCAGGCGGGTTGCGTGTGCTGGTGGCCAGTCGCGTTTGCATTCCGAGCAGAGTGTGAAGATGTCCCAAGCGAGGCGCTGGCTCCAGCACCCCAAGGGGGTGCTTCCGGGGGGTGTATCACGGGCCCGTCCGTGCCCGATTGCATTCAGACTCAACCAAATCCAGACCCAGTCACACCCAGACGCGCTCATACTTAGACTCACTCACATGCAGGCTCGCTCGCACTCGGTCTCACTCCCATCTAGACTAACTCACAATCAGGTTGATTCACTCAGAGTCGCCATCCTTCAGACTCACTCGTACGCAAACTCACTCGTACTCGGAGTCACCCATTCCCATATTCATCTTGTTCACGCATACCCAGGCTCACTCACCCTCGGACCTACTCACACTCAGACCCATTCACACTCAGACTCCCCCACCTCAGATCCGCTCGTAAGCAGACACACTCGCACTCGAACTCATGCGTACTCAGATTCAAAAACTCGTCACTCAGACCCAGACCCCACTCACACTTAGACTTGCCCACACTCATACTTACTCACACTCAGGTTCGCAGATTCAGATTCGGTTATATTCAGACGCACCCGTCCTCAGACTATCGTGCTTGCACCCACTCACAATCAAACTCAATCATTATTGAATCGCTTCGCTCATTCCGCCGGCCCATAGTGTAGCGTCGCTGGCACTTGCTTGCGTGCTCGGGGGGGCATTTGGGTGGCCTCCTGGGGCCGCTTGGGGGCCTCCTGAGGGCCTGTTGGAGGCCTCTTGGGGCCTCTTAGGGGCCTCTTGGGGCCTCCTGGGGACTTCTGAGGGCCGAGGGCTCGAAATATTGTTTCGTGTTCCCCCCCTGGGGTCCCTCTTGGGGCGTTCTTGGGGCCCTCTTGGGCCGTCTTGGAGGCCTCTTGGGCCGTCTTGGAGCCCTCTTGGGCCGTCTTGGGGCCCTCTTGGGGGCCTCTTGGGCCCTCTTGGGGCGGTCTTGGGGGCCTCTTGGGCCGTCTTGGGGTGTCGTGAAGCCGAAAAGGTGGAAACGCCAAAATCTCTCCAAAACCTAAGGAAAAGCAGTGAATTTTGCCTCTTGGGGCCCTCTCGGGAGTGCTCTTGGAGGCCTCTTGGGGCGTCTGGGGGCCATCGTGGGCGTCTTGGAGCGATCTTGTGGCATCTCGGACCCCTCATGTAGCATCTTGGGGGCCTCTTGGAAGCCTCTTGGCCCTTCTTGGGGCTCTCGGGGACGTCTCGGAGCCGCGTTGGTGCGCTGCTGGAGCGCCCTGGTGACTCCTCCCGGGACTCTCTCGGGACCTTGCCGGGGTACTTTCCGCCCGGGGGCCCCCAGGGGCCGCCCCGCGCGCGCGAAGTAGAAAGATTGTAAAGCAGTCACCGGAGATCTTAGCACGCCTCTGGCCCGTTGGGCCGGCGAATTGGGCTCGGTCACACTCAGCCTCACTCACACTCAAATCGCTGAAACTCTGATCAGTCACACCTCCTCACCTCACTCCCCCTCTTCCTCCCTCACACTCAGACTCACGCGCTCTCATATTCACTCATACTCAGACTCGCCCATATGCAGACTCACACTCAGGCTCACTCACACTCAGATTCACTCATATCCTGACCCACTCAAATTCTGACCCACTCACGCTCGGACTCACCCTTTTACCCAGACGCACACACACACACACACACACACTCAGACTCACCCTCAGACGCACCTGTACCCAGACTCTGTCATATCTAGGTTCACCCACACTTAAAGTCAATCATTCTTGGGTTCAGTCACGCCAAGACTCACTCGCGCTCAGATCACTCATGCTCAGTTGCAATATTAGTCTTCTCTATGTTGATTGATCAATGCCCTCTCGCTCCTCACCTGTGAAAGAGCGTGTTCTACCGCTGCTGGCGGAAAACCGGGGGGGGTCACTACCGGTTCGAACCCCTCCCCCCCCCCCTCCGGAAAACCGGGGGGGGTCACTACCGGTTCGAACCCCTCCCCCCCCCCCCAGCTCATCATGAAAAGGGGGGGGGGTCACTACCGGTTCGAACCCCCCCCCCCCCCCTCGAAAACCGAGTGGGGGTGCGGACAGTGGTGGGGACGGTGTTGGTGGGGACAGTGGTGAGGGGACAGCGGGACAGTGGTGGGGACAGTGGGGGGACAGTGGGACAGCGGTGGGGACGGTAGTGGTGGGGACAGTGGTGGGGACAATGGTGGGAACAGGGGGGACAGTGGACAGTGGTGGGAACGGTGGTGGTGGGGACAGTGGTGTGGGGACAGTGGGAATGAGGTGGAAACACTGGGACAGTGGAGGGTACAATGGTGGTGGGGACACTGGTAAAGGCGGTGGCGAGGACGGCGGTGGGACAATGGGACAGAGGTACAGTGGGGACAGTGGTGGGGACAGTGGGGACAGTGGTGGGAACAGTGGGACAGCTCAGTGGGACAGCGGAGGAGTCAGTGGGACAGTGGGGACAGTGGGGATAGGCAGTGGTTGGGTCCGTGGAGACAGTGGGGAGAGTGGAACCGTGGTGGGAACAGTTGTGGGAACAGTGGGGACAGTGCGACAGTGGCGGGGGCACTGGTGGGGACAATAGGGACGGTGGTGGAACCAGCGGGGGCAGTGGTGGTGAGGACAGTGGTGCTGGGAACAACAGTGGGGGATGTCATGCGAGCGGTGGTAGGGACCGGGAGTCGTTTGCTGGCGGTGCGTGGGGGGGAGGGGGTCGAACCGGCCGGTAGTGACCCCCTCCGGTTTTCGAGGGGGGGGGGGGTCCAACCGGTAGTGACCCTCCCGGTTTTCCGGATTTGGAGGGGGGGGGGGGGTTCGAACCGGTAGTGACCCCCCCCCAGTTTTCGAGGGGGAGGGGGGGGGGGGGAGGGGTTAGGGGAGAGGGGGGGGTTTTGCCGGGAGGGAGGGGGGGGGGGGGGGGGGGTTCCAGAGGGGGGGGGGGGGGGAGATTTTCGGGGGGGGGGGAGACCCCCGGGCTCCGGAGGAAAAGGTTGGCAATTTTCCACAGTAAAGCAGCGGTGGATCACGCGCTCTCTCTCACCTGTGTTTCCTTCATCTTTCTTGAAAACTCCCGGGGAGGAGGGGGAAGCGGAGGAGGACGTCATTGAAGTCATCGCTGTCGTCGTCGTCGTCGTCGCCGCGCCCATCGTGTACGCGGGCTCGCTCTCACACCCAGATGCTCGCAGGCAGGCAGGAGTATGAGAAGCACATATGGGGATCTCCGCGTCCAGTAATTCAGGACGCGAGGGGGGTTGGGGAGGAGAACAGGGGGCGGTGAACCCACTCGGAGGACGCAGAGCAGGACGAAAACGCCACAGAAAATGAGGCGGAGGAAGGGGCGACGATGGACGTGCAGGAGCATTAGGAGTCGAAGGATTATTTTTCTCATCCTCGTCCCCCCCCCCCACCTGCCCTCGATGCGTCTGTCCCTCCCCCCCCCTCTTGGGAGGACCAAACTGAGGACGGACAAAAGTCAGATCGAATACCGACAGCAAGCGTTGCCTATGTTGAACAGGATTTGTTGTCGGTATCGCCGCGGACGATGTCAATGTGGGACGAGCGCCGCGTGCCCAACAACGGCCGTTGCCAGCCTTTATACAACATCAACATTTGTTGGTGGAGTATCGCCCGCAATTTGCTCTGCTCCCGTTTCGGCGGTGGCAATTTTCCTCGTCGTGCTCGTCGTCGTCGTCGTCCACCACGTTCCCTACCTCACCTCCTCCCCCTTTTTATGCTTTGGCGTGATTCGACGTCGGCCGCCCCGCCCTCTTGTCTGGAGTCAGGGCTCGAGCTAAACTGTGTTTTTGGGGCGATTTCGTTGACCGTAATCGTTTTGATTTCGATTCGCAACAAACGCAGAGCGAAGACAGAACGAAGAAAAACGACACCATAACGAAAACGAAAACCACGGCTTAGTTCAAGCCCTCTCTGGGGCATCGGTCAAAGAGCCACCGCTGCCCGATCTTGGCGGCGAGCGAGGGTGGAAATGAGAAGGAGCGATTCTTTTCAGAAGGCTCGGGAGTCCTGTGCGCTTCTGAAGCAGTGTTTCCCGGAAAGGGCGCCGTTCCAGTGTTCTCTTTTAGATGTTCACCCCCGGTTTCGATGTGATGAGGGCCGACAGAATTATTTTAGATAAATAACGAAGTTCATTATAAGTTTGTTGTTATACGTCGCACGCGTGCCCGCTCGAGGAACATGCGCCTTCTGTCTCGGATCTTTGATAATGAACAGGGTCTGCAGACACACGTTTTCACAAGTACAAATCGAGGTGCGGAGAGTTTTGCGTTGAATCTGTGATAAAAGCATGAGGTCTGGAGGATTTGAAATTCGTCCGAAAATGAAAAATACTTTCTGCGTGCCCGCTCGAGGATGGCGCGCCGTGCGCCGAATATCTGAGGATGTCTCGAGCGAAACGCTTGGTTTGCAAAACTTGAGCGGCCGGGGCACCCCAGGATGCCCAGGTGGTTCTGGGAGCCCGAACGCAGCGTATCTTACTAGGGAAAGCAGCCCTGGGAGCGCGGACGCAGCGTAATTCACGAGGGAGCGCGGTGTTGGGAGCGCAGACGCAGCGTAGTTTACGAGGGATCGTGGCCCCGGGAGCGCGGTCCCGTCGTAATGGCTTCGTTCATGGGTGCGCCGTGCGTTGCCCCTTTCTGATTCCTCGGTGTTTGGGGTGAGGAGGTCGGGGGGAAGGCAAGCCGCGTTTTTTGGAGCAGAATAAAGGGGTTTGCCTGGGAGCGCGGTCCCGTGCCACGTCCCGTGGCACGTTCCCTGGCGCGTTCCTTGGCACGTCCCCTGGCGCGTCGGCCTGGCACGTTCCCTCGCACGGTTCGCGGCGCGTCCCGTGGCGAGTCCCCCCTGGCACGTCGCGCGGGGGCGGCCCTTGGCACGTCCCGTGGCACGCCCATTGGCACGTCCCGCAGCGCGTCCCCTTGGCACGTCCCGCGGTGCGCCCCCATGGCACTTTCCCTGGCACGTCCGTTGGCGCGTCCCTCGGGACGTTCCGCGGCGCGTCCCCCTGGCATGCCCTGGCACCGCCCAGTTGAATGATCATGCGATTGGGGTCCTCAGAAATGGTTCCATGCTTCGCAGTTCTCGATCATTTTCGGGTTCCGTGGGTCGACCGCGTTTCAGTTTTCCCCGACGACGCAGAGAACCTCTCAGAAGGTTGGTGGAACCTGAGCAGCCCCGCCGCCTTCTGAGAAGGCTTCCTCCATCTCACTTCCCCCCCTCGCTCGCCACCGAACACAGCCACCGCTGCCCGATTTGGGCCAAACCATCCTCCATCCCTGCGCCGCTCCCGAGCCGCAGCGCGGCCCTGCGCCGCCCGAGGTCGCGCTGCCCCGGGAGCAGGGCAGCGCGTCCCACCAGCTCGCGCAGGCCCGGCCCGACACCCGCGCGAGACGCCCCGGGGCCCCGCCCCGGGCCTCGTTGTCCTCTTTTTCTCTTGCTGGTAGTACTTCGATTGTTGTAGAGGCCTCCGGCCGGTGCCGCCGATCCGGGGCAATCCCGCTGACGGAAGGACGCTTTCGCCCCAGCGCGGGGTGATCTTTTCCCTTCTCCGCGCTGCGCTTCAGTTCTGTAGGCAGTAAACAAATCCGGGTCCGAGTCTTTCCGCATCCTTATCGAGGCCTCCTGGGGGGGCGTCTTAGAGATGATTGTTGAACCTCTCGGGGGCCTTTTGGGCTTCTTGGGGGGCATGCAGGAGGCATCCTGGAGGCCTCCTGTGGGTGTGTAGGAGGAAATTCTTAAGCCTGCGGGGGCGCTTTTGGGCGCCTTTTGGGGGCCTCTTGAGGGCCATTGGGGGGCCTCTTTGGGGACTCCCAGGGCCATTTTGGTGCCTCCTGGGCGCCTCTTGGGCCGTCTTGGGCCCTTCTGGGGCCGTGACGGAGCCCTCTTGTGCGCTTCTTGGGCCCGTCCTGGGGCCCGCTTGGGCTGTTTTGGGGGCCTCCAGGGCTGTCTTGGGCCCTTCTTGGGCCGACTTGGGGCCCTCTTGTGAGCCTTTGGGGGCCTGTTTTGGGAGTCTCTTGGGCCGTGTTGGACACTGCGAAGACCGAAGAAGCGAAAATGCAACAAATGCACGTCTTCCCAAGGGAATGGGACAGATTTTCCGTTTCTGGGCGTTCTCAGGAGGTGTCGGGAGGGCACGTTGGAGGCTTCAGGAGCCGTCTGAGGAACATATTGGGCGTCTTGGAGCGATGTTTCGACAACTCAGGGCCCTCTTGGGCCGTCTGGGCGGCCGCTGGGTTTTTTTTATGAGCCCGCGTTCGAGCTCTCCGGGGCGAGGGGCTGACCTGGAGTGAGCTGGAGCTCCGATTTTGCCACCAAAATTGACTCGGAACCACCACCACCCCTTCCCCCCTACCCCGGCAGAGCCACCCCTGCACCCACCCCCCCAGCAGAGCTGAAGTTCAAGAACTGAGGCTCAGACTATATCTGAGGGTCTTTGAAAATCACACGCCAGATCGGCGGATTATTTCGACTACAAGTACTATCAGGATTCTTATTGCAGCACGTCCTGTGGTCCTCCCTTGCATCCGCGGGCGTTCTTCTGGCCATGATGTGCGAACCCCTTTTCGGACGTCCCCGAGGTGAACGGGCGGCGGCGTCGGTGGCTCCGATGGCGGTCGGCGAAGCACACCGAGGGGGTTGGCGCGAGGGGGTTGGCATTCCATGCTCGGCCACGGGGTACGGGTGGCCCTTCGCGGGGGTGGCTCGCGGTGCGGTCCCACAGGGGCCTTCCCCAGCCTTGGCTTGTGCGCTTGGACTGGCCCCGCGGCCACCACAAATGATGTCTCTGCCTAGGGTCTCTTCTTGCGTGTAGCCGGTGAGAAGGTGGGGTGCCTCTTAGAAGGCGGGTCCTTCTCAGAAGGGCCTCTAGGTTTCGAAGAAGGTTTCAGGCCGCCAAGAAGCTCCCATATGTTCTTTCGGGGGGCGATGTATGGCCACCGCCCCCGCTCGCGTACCTTGTGCTGGATCAGCTGTGTCGCTGCAGTGGTGTACAAAAATCGTGTCCCCAGGGGATGGAAAGTGAGCACACAACCCACTATTCTCAGTTTTGTGCAGGGCCAGCTTGTTTGCGGGGGTGGTGTACAAAAGTCGTGCCCCCATTGGGCTCGAGCTTAACCGTGTTCTGGCGATTTCGTGGACCGTTGTCGTTTTCATTTCGTGTTCACGAAAAGCGGAACACACCCAGAAAGAAAAGGAAACGAAAACGGAAAGTTTTGTTTAGTTCGAGTTTTGTGTTCCCATTCTTACAAGGTCGTCGTCGTCGCCGTCTGCCTCCTCCTCCCCCTCCTTGTCCTCCTTCCAGACAGTTTGATGTATCGAGTCTTGTTGTTGTCGCATTGCTTCATTAATTGCGGCGCCCGGGCGCCACCTTGCAGTGCCCCCGCGGCACCTAGACTGCAGGCCGCTTGTCCGCTTGTTCGCTTGTCTTACAAGGCTTTCAGGCCTCGTGGGAGGCTGCTCCCTTCGCGCCGCCCCCGATGTGCGCCCGACCCAGACCCGCCCGCTGTCATGTCCAGCCCGCGCGATCCAATCCGCCTGAGCGTCCCGCGCGCCGACACGCCCATCCTAGTTTCCGTTCACCCGCCGCGCCTGTCAGGACCTGCCCGTGATGGTCCTCCCGCCAAAGCCGTTAGACTCATGTAGCAAAAGACCTATCCAGTAGTCGGCAGTAGCTGGGAGGATTATGAAACCGTTCACACATGGCGAGGGCTGGAATCGAAAGCTTTGTGCACGTGCTGGATGGCACGCGAGCGACTAAGAGCGAGCAGTTTCAACAACGCGCGTCGCTGTGTATGATTATCGTGTGTTGTTGTCGGTGTTGTTGTTATTGTGTTTGCTCTTCCTCCTCGGTCCACCTCCCCCCTCTGCTCCCCATCTCCCCTCTTCCCGGCACTCCCCCTCAGCCTTCTTCTCCCCTTTCCTCCTCTTCCTCCTCCTCCTTCTCCTCTTTCTCCGTCGCCATTTTGGCTCAAACCGCTTTGGTTCAAGCAATTTTGGCTCAAGGCCATTTCCGGGTTCCCCGCGCCCCTAGGTGGTTCAGTATTGTTTTTTCGGGACATCCAGGGTGGTTGCCCAGCCCGAGGTACCTTCGCTTCCATGTCCATCGTGCCGCACTACGCACGTTTCGCACTGTATGTTTCAGCTCCCGTTCTTGCGCCATGGGTTCCGGAACGGGTCGTCGCGCTGGTAAGCGCCGAATTGGGCCCTCCAGTCCTTCCAGCAGACGTCGATGGGGCCAGCCCCAATCCATCTTAGCCGCGCAGGAGAAGCTCGTCATCCCACAGTCGCGTCATCAGCTCGAACCCCAGCATATGCAGAGACAGAAGCCGGAGTGAGAGAGATGTGCCGACAGCCCAGGCACCCCGCATGGATGGCCAACATCACTTATGAGGTTCGGGTGAGCAGTCGCAAGGTCGAAGCGTTTGAAAGCTCGGTCAGATATGAAGGTTCAGTTGTTCGCCAATCGCTCTTTGGTCATGATGCCAACATGCGAGCTCGGGCATCCCGTGTTCAGGCCACCGCGAGCGTCTGCAGCAGCAACGTCGCCGCCGCCGTCGCTGTTGTCATGGAGACCAAGCTCGAGCACATCGAATCCCAGATCAGGAGTTGCAGAAGAGGCCGCCCTTTTCATTCGCGCCCTCTTCCACCAGTGGCTCATCCACTGCTGCCCCTCGCTCCGCGGAGGCGCAGCCCTTTCGTGAGGACGCGGGCCCACGCGTCAGATTCGCGGGCGCATTCCTTCGCCCTGCCCTGAAGAAGGCCACATTGCCCATTATGACTGGCTTGCACCACGGCATCCACGTCTACTCGCCGACGCCAAGCCCTCCTTCCAAAATGCGAGCCAGACCACCGCCGCAGCGAAGTTCTTCCAGACTACGGCGAACGAGGACGGCGCGGCATGGACGGACCCCCGCACGAACAGAGAACGCCCATGTCAGGGCGCGAGTGGACCTCCCCGCCGACGCGCGCGCCAAACAACGTCGCATCCATGACGTCTACCCCTCGCTCAAGAACTTGCTCAATTGAAGCGATGAGTGGTCGATGGGCATGGAGTTGCGCGAGCGGATTCAAAGGTGAAGTCGCGCTCGTGTCCGACGGCGACGCGCGGGCCCTCGTTGATTTAGTTGCCGACCAGCGCGCCGGAGGCGCGTTGTGCGACTTCGCCCCGGACATCGTGAACCATGAGTTCTTCGGCATCTCGGCCGAGCAGTCTAATGGCATCGTTGCGCAGGCCGCAACGTCGCCCCCCGCGTGACAGCGCCCTCCAGGGCGCCTTCGTAATGAGAGCCCATCTCCCGTGCTGCTTCATCCTTGGAAGCGGCGCGCGCCTTCCTGCGCGCGTCGCGAGATAAGATTCAGCCCAGCGCGCTCGGTTGCCTCAACCTCATCGCATACTGAGTCGCCTGCGGAGGCGGGGGGGCCTCCGCAGGCACGCCGCACTGTTCTTTCTGAGAGCGCCGAGAGCAATTTTCGCGGCAGCGAATTCGGCCCCCGCTCTCGCCCCCCCCCGCACGCCCCGCCCCTGCGCGATCGAGGCAGAGCTTAGTCTTGGAACTTGGAAGGGTCCAACTCGCCTCGGGCCCACCTTCCCCGATCGAATCGCCCCCCAAGGTTGACGCGCGTGGCTTCGCAAACTGTCGCCAAGAAATTAGGGCGTCGGGCGGCGAGAATCACGCGGCGCAGAAGAGGGCGCGCAAAATGCACGGAGGCATTTCAAGAGCCACGAAGCATTGGGCGCGTTCTGTTCCTCGGCCAACGCTGGCGGGGCGCCCCCGCGCATCGGTCGCTCTCTGCTCTCATCTTTTTGATCGAGCGGTGGAATGCGTCGCCCGTCCATTGCGCGCGCTGCGCTCCCCCCTCTACTCACGCGCTCGCTCCCTCCAGATCTTCAAAGTTTGCATTGTGCCTGGCTGGAGCGAATTTGACAGTCGCGCTGCGTTCGCAGCTGCTCGTCGCCCCCCCCCCCAGCGAACGCTCGCTCGCTTTTGCGCGCGGTGACGCGAGCTCCCGCGCCCAAGGCGAGCCGCGCGCGCGCGTGGCCGCCTGCGCCGAGGGCCCGACAGCCAGCCGCTCGGCCACGGCTTTTCTCACCCGCGCCCCCCCGTCTCGCCGAGGCCGCGCAAGACCGCGACGCTCGCGGGATGGGGCGCCTCGGCAAGGTCTCGCTTGCTCGGCTGGATAGGACATGCGCATGCATGAGCACTTAGGACATCCTCGACCATTGCCCGCGCCCCGGCGCATCTCGGGCCATCGCGGAACCTCGAGGCCCCGTCCGATCGCACCCCCGTCTTCTTCAAGTTGTCAAAATGGATTTCTTCGGGCCCGCCGAGGGCCCCCGCTTGGGTCGCCGGGCGCCAGCGCTTCCAGAG